CCAAAACACACAGGCAAAATGCCATCCAGTCTTGTGGTTATAAATCCTATGTATGTTTCCTGCTGCATCTTTGTGCCTCAAAGGATCAGTGTGAGGTGCCAGATATTTTGATTCTATTACAGAGTTTAAGTATGGTCCAGGCACATTTGTGACCAGGCAGTGAGAACAGATGATGAAGGAAAGTCTATCTTCTTAATTCACATGGCGTAGCAGAAGTCATGGCAGTACAAGTGAGTGCACCTGATACAGGACATTAGATGTGAAAGGATCAGTCCGTCATCCTAGACAACCACATTGGGGGAAAAGTTATGTACCCAAAGAAAGTGAAGAAATCAGCAAAAAACAGAAAACAGAAAGGACATAATGGCAAATGTAATTAAGAAATGGCAAGGGCCCCAGTGTTGTGGCACATGAGGTTAAGCTGCAGCTTGGGACACTGTTATCTCATATGGAAGAAGTAGTTCAGGTTCTGGTTACTCTGCCTTCCATCCAGCTTCCTGATAACGTACGAGAAAAGACAGCAGAAGATAACTTAAGTGCTTGGACCCTACCCCTGCCACAAATGTTCTCCAAATCCTACAACTAGTAACATCAAAAGTTAATGTATTAACTCAGTTCATTCAATTTTCTGTATGTTACTTTGGCCTTTTATTCCTTCAATGTAAATTGACTAAGCTACCTTTTTTTTTACAGGTGCTATTCCAGATACTGTGATAAGAATTGAAGAACAGCGTGGACTACGCAAAGCCTTATTCCAGTAAGAGAGAGACAGGTAATAATAAAATTAACTACTGTTGCTATGTGACAGTGCTATGAGAAAATATTCAACAGAGAGGGAGACAGAATGAAGTAGGACCCTCTTTTAGATACAGTAACCAGAGCTTCTCTTCCCTTAGTCCCAGGCTCAGTCCTCTGTGCTATAACATAGTTGCCTACTGCTGAAACAAGCTAAAGGTCATGAAAAGGAAGGTAGCCCCAGAACACCTCTAAAACCCGGCTATGTATAGTGTCCCTTTAACTCCCACAAAGTTGGACTGCCTCACTGAGCTTTGCATATAGATTACAATAAAATCCTTACAGGTCAGCTGCACAGGTTTTTTTTTAGTGAGTATATGATTACTAATTGATTGATAAAATAAGAACTAAGCCAACTGGACACCATTCTCCTAACTCAATATCCAGAGAGTTCAGTAAATTCATTGAAGATTCCCAAATCTTTGAGTCTTCAAAACAATCCTTCCACTGTTCCCTACATTAAAGGAGCTCCCCTCCTGCACTCATACAGGGCCAAACAGGTCCCACCAGAAAAGCAGACCCATCTGAAAAGTGTGTAACATGGTAGCTGTGCTGCACTGATTTGTGGCATTCTTACCAAGATGAGCCTGTGACATTGCAGGTGGATGGACATAGAGGAAGGTGTGTGAAAAGGAGACAAGCAACATAAAGACAGAGAAGTGCACCCAAATCTTAAAAAATAAATAAATAACTAGAGTTACCAAGCATTAGATTTACCAGAGTAAGTGACAAACAAAACATGAATCCAGGTCCTTTGAGTGATCTATTTAATTTCTACCAGCATATCTTGGTCATGTTTTTATTTGTTAGAAAATTTATATTTACAGCACCATTGAACATTTTTTACTTTTTTAAAGTATGCAAATGTATATGCATTATTGGGTAATTCACAAGCAATCAGTAATAAGCCAGCTTCACTTTATAAAATTTAACAATTCCCCTAAAGTGTGAGAAATACACTTTGGCAAAACCACCTTGAAAGGCAGAAGGATTTGAAGCAACATAACTCCACAATATTGTAACATAACCTCTGACCTCCAGAAGGGGGTCCCTTGCCCTTAAAAATCATCCTTTATGGATTTTTTTTTTCATTAGCATTCAGAGCAGGTTCAGGTTCTCTGGCTTGGCTTTCCACAGAGAGGTGACTAGCCAATTATCTAACAAGCATTCAACAAAGTTCCTTGTAAACATCAAATGTCTGGAACAAAGCACCAGAAATGAGAATCCCTAGTAAGAGACCCCTTTGTATCAGCTCAACTCCAAATTACATTTAGATTACATTGAGGATCACAATTTGATTCAAATTCCACTGGAGACAGTTTTGCAAGTTCAATAACATCATTGCAACACCTGACCTCGCAGATACAAACACACTTCAGAACGCAAGGTGACAACCTGTCAGGTGGAATGCAGAGTTGTAAAACAGGCATGCAGTCAAAGATCTTTAATCTAAATTCAAAATCCAAATTAGGGTCATGAATCCTCACATTTTTAAAATAGTCTCTTTTTTGCAGTCTTTAATTGCTAGACTGCAAAAATGCTTCAAAAGATACTTCAAAACAGGGAATGCATTTTTCCATCTTGGATCTAATTTGGCAAAGGATTAAGTTATCCATAGACAATTTTTTTGATGTCTGAATATGTCGTTAACACTAGCATGAGCTATTTACCAGGAATTAATAACAAGAAACTTCATTATGTTATTAATTGATCATTTAAATAGGGAACTAAACACCCTAATCCCCAAAATAATTTTTTCTGTTATTATCCAGGCTAAGAAAGTAATGGACTCACCAAATGTGGTCACTTGTGACTGGAGAGACCATCATTTTACAGGAAAGTGACAGCAAATCTTTTTCTTTCGTTTCCTTCTCTAAAATAATGACTTATCTATATAACAGAATTTGGAAGAGCTATTTTTCTAAATTATATTTTTTTCTCTAGATATCCAAAGTTCCTATGCAGAGACCAATGTAATTTTTATGCATAGCTTTGTTTGGTCTTTAAAAATAATGTTGCAAATGTGGCTTACACAGAAAGAATAGCATTACATGGACTGCTGGGTGTGGAAAGGCTGTCATCAACAATGCCCCTAAAAATAAACAAACAAAATAAATCAAGACCGAAAAAAAGCAAAAAGCAAAAGAATAAAACAATGCCCCTAAATTACCCTGAAATATATTCAGGGGTTCCAAACTGGGAATATCTGTTGCTCTAGAGAATGTGGCGCAATGCTTGGAGATATTTATGATTGTGAAGTGGATAGAGCAAGGATGCTGCTAAACTTCCTGTGATATTCAAGCAGGCCTCCTGGACCCAAACATCCAGTTCAAAGTATAGGTGGTGAGAAATCCTGAGAGGGATGCCTCAAGACTTGAGAAAGTGTGGTTTAAGCAGAACAAAAGTACTCACTACCTACACAGGGAAGCTGCCAAAATGCACCACATTGATTGCCGTGACAGTTAAAGCACATATTCCTGTTGGATTTAGGAGTTTCTGATCTACTACCACTGAAGTATGCCCAGTTCAGTGACAAAAACAAAAACAAACAAAGTAAAATAAAATTCACTGTAGATGGGAAATGCTTTCAATTCTTGCTAAAGTAATGGTTGTATTTATTGACAGCTCATCAAAAAGAGAGATGAAGACTGGTAGCCTTATGGAGATTCATAATGGCCCAATATGAAAACAAAACAAAACAAAGAACCAAAAATCTTGGCTGCAGCGTGGTAGCCTAGTGGCTTCCATGCTCCAGGATCCAACATGGGTACTAGTTCATGTTCCTGCTTCCCATCCAGCTCCCTGCTTGTGACCTGAGAAAGCAGTCAGGGATGGCCCAAAATCTTTGGGCCCTACACCCACATGGGAGACCCAGAAGAAGCTCCAGGTTCCTGGTTTCGGATCAGCTCAGCTCTTGCCATTGCAGCCACTTGGGGAATGAATCAATGGATGGAAGATCTTCCTCTCTATTTCTCTCCTCTCTGTAAAGCCGACATTCCAATAAAAATAAAGAAATAGCTTTTAAAAAAGAAACTTTCCATTTCAAAAACAAAATTGGAAGTTGGACAATCAGATACAGTACTTGTATCAGTTATTGGTTAGGTACTATTCCTACTCGGCAGGGCTGATTCCAAAGAAAAAAGAAGATTCTCACTTTTCCTTGGGAATTTAAAAGGTAAGTAGATTAGAGTAAAACCCAAGTAAAAACACCTTTTTGTGCAAATACACAAAAACATTCATTCATTCAGCTTTTGGGACACTGTTCAATGTCCTCAGACAAGCTGCCTTCAGGCATCATTCCACACGGCCTGCATGCAGCCCAACAGTCCCTATGCTCTTAAGTGTTAATCAAAATTCCTGAACCAAAGTAGGATTTAATTATATTAGGATTAAACACTTTTCCAGAGAAAAATACTTTAGAGATTAATTAAAGAACAGTGTGTCAAAAATACAAGCTAAATGCATTCCTTTAACCAATTGCATAAGAATTGTAAACTTCAGATTTCCCCTCTCAAGAAACGGTGAATGATGTGAATTCAAATTAGACCTTCAAATTTGGAAGAAGAGACAAATTTCTTACTTGGGGCAGAATAAGGCATTTCAAATAATATTTATAGAGGAAAACCTGCCCCACAGATTACTGGGGTGTTTCTTAGAGAATCCACTGGTCTATGTGAGTATATGCCAAACTTAACACTGAAAATTCGTCCTTACTTTTTACCTTTCTAAAGTGCATATAACCTAACTCAGTAAACCTGTAGGCATATGAACATTTTAGGCAACTTTTATTGCCTAATCCTTGGTCAGTCTGACCTCAGATAATGGATTTTCAAAGAATAAAAATTTTCCTATCCCAGTAATCATGACTGCTTATATATTTCATCCTTCACAGTTAGGACGTTAGGACTAAGATAAATGTTTCAGATGATGGTTATACTGAACAATGAGGATGCTCTTTCTGTAATCATTGTAGCACTCCTGATGGATCCTGGGCAGATTCTATTCAAGTCTCAAAGTTCATAGCTCAAGACGTGATTATTTTCAGTCATTTTCACAAAGTATCCAAAAAGATACCACTTCCCCAGTGGTATTTCCATGTTCTTAAACCTATATGACTGCTTTGATCTAAAAACAAATGCCTAAGTAACAGGTTAAACACATGATAAACACTTGCGCTATGAATGTAGTTCAGTTATAGGTCAGAATCAGATGAGAATAAATTTATTTGTATCAGGAACATAAAAGAAAATTCTAAGCTCCACACACCATATTTAAATGCAGCAGTTAAAACTGGCATTTTTTTCCTCAGACACCAACTTTGCCTCAAAACTAATATGTGCTGACTGTAATAATTATTTAAAAATACACCTAATTAAAGAAAAGTCCATCTAGCTCAAAGTTTTGGGAGAAATGAGCAGTCAATATCATACATTCTCCTCTCCCAAGAGCACATTTCCCCCTTGTAGATGTGATCTACCGCTATGCGATCATATAAAAGACGACTCACAGGAAATTTGGACAAATGAGTACATCATCATCAATAAAACGGTCCCAAGCAGGTGGGACTGTCAAAGATAGTACGCATTGTGTTCTACTTAAGAAAGTAAAAATATTCCAACATTTCTAAGGGCAAAAGATGTATCACATACTTAAACATCTGAACCTGAAAAACACCACAAGCCATAGTTCAGTTCACAGAATAAAGTAATCCCATAGCTTTCAGCTCACAAAACAAAGAGATGGTACAATATCATTTTTCTCCCCTCCTCCACTAAGTGCTGCCTCCTCTAATGTTCTAAGGATATTCTCTCCTAAACAGGTATTCATGTTACATTTATTCTTTAATAAAGAGGAATGGGAAAAAAATACAGCTATCATGGCACTTCAATTTGTTTGTTTGTTTGTTTTCCAGTGTACTTCACCTCTTCTGACAAGTAAAAAAAAAAAAAAAACAACTTATTGTGAATCCTGTGTCCACAGTCATTGAGTTCTAGCCTTTGCTGTCCGTGACAGACACACTCATGCAGTTTGGTTTAGCAAAGCCATATTCAACTTAAAACTGGTGAAGAGCAGCATGAGACACTCAGAGTAAATAGAAAATAGTTATCAGTCACATAAAAATTAACAGATACTTGTAACTCCTACCCCAAACAGCCAACCCCTACTGGACATGGAGAGCACACATTGCGAGTTCGGTCAGAGCCCACACCCACAAAGCTCTTTCCACAGCCAAGCTGGTAAGATCCCAGAGTGCTTTGTCTATAGAGTCTGATTATGTGGCTATCCCATTAAAAATGTGTACTGTTTTCATAAATGTGGTTCTCCCGCATCATGTTGGGAGTGTGCCCATAGTTGCTCTGATAGCCATCCAAAGCCATATCTACCGCCACTTCTGCGCCATCTCTTCTGCTTCTGTATATCTCTGGAAAGTGTCCACCGTTCTGCTCAGCACAGCCATTGACGTGGGCCAGAGGCAATGCCCCGGGCGGACAGCACAGCTTCTTAGCACAGCTCTTGGAGATGCATGGTGAGTTGCAGAGCAGCAACAAGTCCTTCTGCTCCAAGGATTCTTTCAAATCCATAGCTTCAAACTGGATGGTCACACTGTGGATGCCGGCACCGTGAAAGATTTCTCGAATTTTCCTGCTGGCGTCCTGATAGTCACGGTCTTTCTGATATTTGATGTGCAGCGTGGCAATGATCTTTCCACTTGCAAGTTCCCAGATGTGCAATTCATGCACGCTACCGATTCCCGGCACAGCAGAGAGTTTAGTCACTGCAACAGAGAAGACCAAATAACAGCCTAGGTGAGCGCTATGATCAAACACAGAACTGCAGGAAAGTGGTTCCTTCCTGCACTCTCACCAAAATGACCACATGCTCACTAACAGAAAGCAAAACCAGCCATATTCATAAGAGCAGATTCCCCTGGCCGGTGGCCCAGTGACTAATGTTCTTGCCTTGAACACGCTGGGATCCCATATGGGCACCAATTCTAATCCTGGCGGCCCTGCTTCCCATCCAGCTCCCTGCTTGGGGCATGGGGGAAGCAGGTGAGGATGGCCCAAAGCCTTGGGACCTTGCACCCGTGGGGGAGACCTGGAAGAGCTCCTGGCTCCCGGCTTTGGATCAGCAAAGCTTCAGCTGTTGCAATCATTTGGGGAGTGAATCATCAGATGGAAGATCTTCTTCTCTGTCTCTCCTCCTCTCTTTATATCTGCCTTTCAATAAAAATAAATAAATCTTTAAAAAAAAAAAAAAGAGTAGATTCCCCATCATCTCCTTTCACCTGTCTGAAATTTCTCGCTATACACTGTTGCTCATTAAATGTACTTCAAGAAAATAAGTTTAACAACAGGGGAAAATGTTCAGGATTGTTGCATATATAAAGAATAGATATTCTGATGGGATTCTGACAGGAGTATGAACTGGAATGTCTTCTTTTTAAGATTTATTTATTTTTATCTAAAAGGCAGATTTGCAGAGAGAAGGAGAGACACAGATCTTCTACTCGCTGGTTCAGTCCCCAAATGGCTATAATAGTCTCTCTGAAGCCAGGAGCCAGAAGCTTCCTCCAGGTCTCCCACATAAGTTCAGGGGCCCAAGGACTTGAACACTCTTCCATTGCTTTCTCAGTCCATAGTCAAGGAGCTGTACTGAAAGTCAAGTTGCCAGGATTCAAAACAGTGCCCACACAGGATGCTGGTGCTACAGGCAGAAGATTAGACTGCTACAACACTATGCTGGAATTTCTTACATAAATGGTGTAGCATTTGCATATCACCTACACATGGCTTTAAATCTCTTATGGACTATTTCCAATATCCAATACAATATAACTACTATGTAAACATGTTATACTGTATTGTTTTGGAAATAATTTCAAGACATTGGCATTCATGCTTTACAAATACAATGTTCTAAAATATTTTTGACCCACAGTTGCTTGATTCCACAAATGTGCATTGTTCAGTTCTAGAGGGTCATTGGTGTGTCTATAATTTTTATTTATATCATAATTGTAACTATTAAAAAAGATATAAATCACAATTACTTTGGTGTATGCTTAACTTGTTTTTTCACCTGGAAAACAACCAAGCTCTTGGGAAGACAAAGGCAATGCTAACTACCTATGCCTACGTCTCCCTCTCTTTCCCTTCTTTCTTTGCAGTACTGAACAAACAGACACTCCGTTGAGAAGTTTAAGTTGGTTTCTTTAAAGAAGCCAGAAAGTGGCCACATTCCACTGACTTTGAGAGAGTAAAATGGCCCAGGTTGTCAAAGGAGGAACCCCAAAAGACCATCAGAGCATCTAGGAACAGCAGCTGTGATCAGTGACTCTACATTGGCAGCAATGTGGTTACTGAGCACACTTTTGGCAGAGCTAGATCCTGCATAAAAATGTATAACTCAGGTATAGGGAATGAGATAAGGCCTTCTGATTATCATTTCCCCATTTCTTGGCTGTTTCTTATTGACTGACCCTAAGGCGAAGCAATGATAGCCAGCACAATAGTAAGTAAGTATGAATTTGTTTTTTCTCCATTTAGAAACACTAGAAATAAAGCTACACATTCAATTTTTCACAAATATAAATAGTTCCCATCTATGAATTTTAGAAAATCTCAAATATGTGTACCCTCAGACGTGCCTAGCCCAAGTGAAGGCGTGATCTTCCGTTTGAGCAAAGCACACAAACAGACTTCATTACTAAATGTGGTAGTGAAGGATCTGAATTTAAAATCCTGCTCTTTTGTCAGGGCTGTGAGACATAGGAATTAGCACATCCCTAAACACTGGTTAATGAGAAAGCAAGGTATAGAATATGAAGGATTCTGGACCTGGTGCAGTGGCTTAATTGGTTAATCCTCCCCCTTCAGATGCTGGATGCCATATGGGCACCAACTCATGTCCCGGTGGCTCCACTTCCCATCCAGCTCCCTGCTTGTGGCTTGGGAAAGAAGTAAAGTATAAGTATAAGTATAAGAAGTAAAGTAAAGCTTCCCTGGTGAAGACCTGGAAGAAGCTCCTGCCTTCAGATTGGCTCAGCTCCAGTCATTTTGGCCACTTGGGGAGTGAATCAGCAGATGGAATACCTTTCTATGTCTCTCCTTCTCTCTGTAAAATCTGCCTTTCCAATATAAACATATAAATATTAGAAAGGAAAAGAATATAGAGTACCCATGTCTTCAGGAAATAAGAATAAAATTCAAGTTCCCAACAGAAGTGGTCTCCTTTGAGTTAAAATCAGTCTTTGACATGAAAAGAAACAGCCCAGGAGCAGCACTATCCAGCACTAAATTCTTTAACATTTGCAGATAGATCAGGCGGGCATTTAGTCAAGCAGTTAAGACACTGCATCCCATACTGGAATATCTGGATTTAATTCCATGCTTCAGTGCCTAGCGCCAGCTTCCTGCTAATGAAGGCCTCAAAAGGATGAACACTCAAATAGCTGAATGCCTGCCACCCACATGGAGCACCTGGATAGAGTAGCTGACTCCCAGGTTAAATTCAGCCCCTTGTGCTTGACTGCTGCAGGCATTTAGAAAGTGAATCAGCACACAGGAGATCACTTGCTCTCTTTCTTCCAAACAAACGTAAGTATTTTTTAAATTGCAATGAATCAGAGAAACATGAGCAGCAAAAAGCCTTTGGTTCTTGGAGCTATGAGTCATTTTACTAGGTGACAAAACGTATGGTGAGTATCTTGAAAAATCAGTAGTTTTTAAAGTATTTTAGAACACCTATATCAAAAAGTACTCAGAAATAATGTTGGCCTTTTGGCCTGGATAACATCAACTGGACAGTGATTCTGCTCAATAGTGCCAATTTACTTACTCAGTTCCTCCATGTTGATTCCTTTGGGAACCATCTGCAGCAGAATAACAGAGGTCTCCTTGATGAGTGGGAAGGCAGATGACAAAATGATGATGACCATGATGACAGTTAGGCTGGGGTCAATGTAGCACTGCCAGTTACATGGGGCATCGGAGGCTAGAGGACGGACATAGAAAATGATGGCCGTGATGACCACAATCACGGACCCTAGGGCATCTCCCATCACATGCAAAAGAACACCTGTCAAGAAGAAAGGAAAATCACTAAGGCACACATCCAGATTTGAGAGTCCCTAAATTCAGGGACTCAGCTGTCCAAATAGATGAATACTTGTTGTTATTTCTTTTCTTTTTAGAGAACACAATGGATCCAAATGCAAAAAATATCAGCGACTTAGAAAACAAAGCCCCAGGCACTCTCCTAGGACTCAGGGAATCAAATGATTCCTTTACTTTCATAGAAGTGTCTATGCTTTAAACTAGTTTTTTAAAAGTTCACTTTATGACCCAGCATGATAACCTGGTGGCTAAAATCCTTGCCCTGCATGCACCAGGATCCCATACAGATGCCAGTTTGTGTCCAGGCTGCTCCACTTTCCGTCCAGCTTCCTGCTTGTCTCCTGGGAGAGCAAAAGACAGGCCAAAACCTTAGGACACTGCACCTGTGTGGGAGACCTGGAAGAAACTCTGGGCTCTTGGCTTCAGATCTGCTCAGCTCCAACTGTTGTAGTCACCAACAGGTAGGAACCAACAGATGGAAATTTCTTCTGTCTCTCTTTCTGTAAATCTGATTTTCCAATAAAAATAAATAAATCTTTATTTTAAAAACACTTTATTTTATTTTATTTTTATTTTTAAAGCAGAGTTACAGGGACAACGGGTGGAAAGATCCTCCACCCTCCACTATACTATCCAAATGGCTGCAAAGGCTACAGCTGTGCTGGTCTCTCACATGAGTGCAAGGGCCCAAGGGCCTTGGTCTTCCTCCACTGCCCTTCCAGGCAATTAGTAGGGAACTGGATAGGAAATGGAGCTGCCAGAACCAAACTGGCACCCACATGGGATGCTGATACTGCAGCCAGGGGCTTTGCTCACAACACCACAGCACCGACCCCCAAAGAAGAAAAAGAACTAGGAAAAATCAAGAGCAGCTTCCTTTAGTTTTAGTCCACTCTCTACCCTGATCTATTTATCTATTTTTTGCTTCCCTATAGGCATTTGCCTACTTTTCACTAAGTCTGTGGTTGTTTCAATGGTACTTGGTTTATAATAGCCTGAAGAATAGGATCTCTGCACATTGTTTACTGTGTGAGAGGATCTGTCACAACAAAATAAGATGAAAATCTGTAGATAACCGGAATTATGGATGCCTTCAATTAAGGGAACGGCTTCTGATTGTATCAATTAAGAGACAGCAAGCATCAGTAAGGAAGACCTGGCTCTCTACATAATTGATAGATAAGAACTAAACAGGAATTTGATAAATTAGGTGGTCAAAAGGACTTTAAAATATAAGTACGAAGTGTCTCTTTTTTTTCCACACCCCAAAGTATCTGTCTTACAGAAGGCAATTTAGAATCTTGATGCTGAGACTAGCGCATCAGCAACAAGGCAGTGCTGGCTTTCAGGCCCCACCTGGGATCTACTGAATTTGACTCTGCACTTCTAAGATCCCCAGGTGATTGGCACATGTGGAGCAACAACAAAATATACATATTAAGCAAACTTTCCTTTGTCTCTGTATGCATTCCACATGTTCACCCCATAGAATACAAGTCACTCACAGCCAGTCCTAAATAGTATTCCTTTCTAGGTGTTTTGGGTTAATTCCTGCTCTTAGCACATCCTGGATTCTGAGTACCTAGGCAAAATGGCATTCTATACATATATTAAATATACTCATGGCACTTTTTCCCAAAATACACAAGAATCAAAAGAATTAACTGAGTCTAACACCGTCCTAATTCTATGCCCCATTCTTCCCACCCAACTCCCAAGGTTTTCTTATTCCCCACATCCCATCCTGAGTCACAAGGAGGAAACAAAACTTTCCCCAAGGTGGTCCTACACATCTTCTTCCTCTAGCAGCAACTGAGGATCAAAGCTCTCAACTTCTTCAGAACATCACAAAATACTACCATAAAGACAGAAAAATCTCATATTGACTACAACCCTTTGATATCATCTTCACAAACTGACAGTCTGTTATTCCATTTCATGCATGTTAGCCTCATTTCCTCCAACTGTACATAAATAACATGAGGCCAGAATCAGACTCTGTACTTCTTTATTTCATCACACTGGAGCCATACAGTGTAAGCTTTCAATAAGATAGCATTTTCTGGTTAAGTCATAACTTACATGATAAAGAGTAACTCCTGCTTTTGAAATAATAATAATGTTATAATACCAGGGACTGTCTTGAGTTACTATGCATTCATTCTTCTTAAGGACTTTCTGAAGTAATTCATCCATTTCACAAATGAGAAAACAGAGGCACCGAATGCCTAGCGTGTCCAAGATCACACAGTTGTAATGTGTTAAGAGTGGCACTGAAAGTCTGCAAAGTCTTCCTGGAGAAGCACTAAGTATCCTGCCCACATAGAAACCCTAAATTCCAATTTCAGGTTTTCTTTATGAAAAATACTCCTATTTACCTAAAAGCAGTACCTTTCAAGCTTGCTTTCCCCACAGTTCATACTAAGAATTTAGCTTTGCATCCCAGAATACAGTTGAAAAAAAAAAGCGTCACAAGAAAGCAAAATCTACCCTTCTATATGAATTATTACTATTTACTATTCTATCTCATTCAACTAAATTTTATAACTACTGATCAAACTATATTAAATTGATTTTAATGAAACTGTCATGACATTGAGTTTGAAACATCACTGAAAGCATCAGTCCACCAAGTTCCTTTAAAATAGAGAGAAACAGAAAGGGAGAGAAAGAGGAAAAGGAGAGGAAGAGAGTATAGACAGCCGGCCAGAGACAGAGTTCTTAGGTACTGGGTCTAACACCCAAAGGTTCGCAATGATCGGGGCTGAATCCAGAAGCTAAAAGCTCAACCCAGGTCTCTCATTTGGGTGTCAGAAATGTTTCATGAGCTATCACAGTTGCTTCCCAAGGTCTGGATGAGCAGGAAACTGGAATCAGGAACTGGAATTGGGTATCAAAGCAAGGCTCTCTACTAAGGGATGGACATATATTATCCTGCATCCTAATCACACAAACTAGCCCTTAAATTCTTGAGATGTAGTAATGCAATGTGTTTTCTTGTCTCCTTTGCAAAGATGAAGAAGGCAAGATCATTACCCCTATGGAGCTTGGGTCATGGGCAGGATTCCAAAATGAATGTATCAAGAACCTTCTGGAGGAGAAAGGAGGTCATCTGAGATGAGTAATCTCAGGGAAGGCTTTCTGAGAGATGGGCAATTTGGGAAGGGCTCTGGAGAGGAGACTGATTTCAACCAGCAGTGACTGGTGGAAGAGCTCCAACAGAGAGGATGCCAGATGGAGGTCCCACTTGTCAAGCACAGGGGACTGGTACACTGCAGTTAGAATCTCAGAACTTGGCACTGTCTCGATAAGCCATGAACCTTTGGAAATGAACTTCTCTGAGCAGTGAGATGGACATCTGTGAAATCAGATTTATAGCACGATCTGCCTCATCTTCCTCAGCAGCTAATTCCTAAGAATATGTAGAACAAAGTCTGGAAAATCCTCTAAAGACTGACCGACTGACCCAGGGGTGATGTGACACTAATGGGTACCTACAGGTAGTGTGGGTCTTCCATGCCGCTCCAAGCACCTTTTTAATCCTCACTACAACACAGTGATGTTGACATTAATATCTCCATGACATGTAAGTGAGGAAACTGCAACTCAAGGGGGTGAAGTTATTTGCCCAAGATCAACATCTAGTTAGTAAAAGGCAGAGGTATAATTCTCACCAGATCTGCCTGATTGTGGAATCTTTATCACCACAGGTGTTTGGCATAGCAGTTTAGATACCACTTGATATGCCCACATCTCATATCAGAGTGTTTGGCTTTCAGTCCTGGTGCTGCTCCTGATTCTAGCTTCCCACTCATGCACACACTGGGAAGCAACAGGGGATAGCTCTAGTTGGATTCCTGTTGCCCACATGGGAAACCTGGATTGAGTTTCCACCTCCTGGCTTCCACTTGGCCTAATCCCATCCCTTGTAGACATCTGGAGAGTAAACCAGCAGACTGGAGCTCTCCGTGTGTTTCTGCCAGTCTTTCTGTTTCTCTGCCTCTCAACTAACTAGATAAACATTTAAATAAGTGCTTCCAAACCCAACCCCACTCTTCCTGTGCACTAATAGGGTGGGTTAGGAAATGGTAAGCAGCTGGTGGGGAAGGTAAAGCGGGTGAGGAGAAGGGCAGAAATGTCTAGAAAGAAATGTTGGTAGCAGAGTATCAGGCCCTTGAATGCCAGCAGTGTTGAAACCTGATTCCAGATGTCGTCAAGGTTTCTGAAGACTCTTAGGTGACCACATCTGTGACTCAGAAAGATAAATCAGCACATAATTTGCGAAACAAAGATCACCACTCAGTAGATAACCTAGTCGCCTGATTAGTCACTGCTCACAAGGCGGCTATGCAAAGACACGAAGCCTCTGCACTTGGCTCTCACTGAGTCTAGACAAAAATGAGGCCATAAAGCCAAACAAAGAAAATTGAACTATAAGATGATTTGGTCATTTGACATGAGTTGAAATTTGATATAAATATCTCAGAACTTAAAAAAGTCATCAACGCTACTGAATTTTTTGAATAGATAACGTGGCATACATATGTGGTTATTTAAAATAACAAGATATTTCTAAATTTAAAAAAATTATTAAAAAATTTCATCAAAGGGAACTTATTCTCCAGTTAGGTCAGCATTATTATTTGTCTATTTATGTCTATACTAAAATTAAAGGGACTCACTGTCTTCCTAACATTCTCTAAACTTTTTAATATGTTCATGGTTGAGTCCATTAAATCAAAGTGACCACAACAAAACACACTGATGGGCATTTTTAAAGCATTGTGTTTTCACTGTACTTTACATTAGACTGCAGAGTGTGTTTCTTACAACTTTTTTATTCCCATTAAAATAAAAGAAACAGTAATGAAAATCAAGAAGTGATTTTTGTTCACAAGAATTCCCATGAACTCTTTCCCCTGAAGACTAAGGCTACTGCTTCCTACAGCAGTTGCTTACACTGTGTTAGAAATGTAACCATTCAGGGTTCAGCGTATACACAGGAGGCAAGCCATGCCGGTTCCCAGCCTGGGGTGACTGACAGCAGCCACTGAGTTCACTGGAGCCTGTTTTATCTTCTGCAAAAGCAAAGCATTGGAGCTCAGGCGTCTTTGGGTGTGTCCAGCTCTACCTTTCTGTGGCCTTTCCCAGAGCCTTGGCTCCATGATGGGAACGCAGCACCTAAAGTGAAACCGGACTTAGAGGACTGAACCTGAAACCCAGAGGGTCCTCCTAGTCACAGGCACAGCACCAACCAACTGAGCTAACTCTTACTGAAGCAGCATGGGTTACGCTCAACAACTCCAGCACTACCTGAATGGCAACAGTGTCCACCTGGTATCACAGTTTTACAGCTACTAGCTGACACTCATTCATAAATTGTGTCTGGCACAAACAAGGCACTCAATAAAAAAACATCATCTACATTTCCTACGAGAAGCCTGGGTAAGCACTTTATAAGTTTTACCTCGCAGCAATGTCATGAAGCATGTACTTTTACTGTCCTAATTTTTAAAAATAAAGAAATTGGAGGTTGAGAGGGTGTCAACAATTTGCCCAAAGCCACATAGTTCTTATGTGGTAGAGCCAGGACCCAAACCCAGACAGCTCCAAACCAAATTCTGGAGAGCTCAAGCTTCCAGCCACTGCACTTGTAGGGAAAAAGATGGAATTAAAAGTTTACTTTAGCTCAAAAAAAAAAAAAAACACCTTGAAATGATATGTACTCATAGTATGTATTTTTTATGAACTTTCCAAAAACTCTTAGTATGTGTGGATTTCAAAATTTTGGTACAAAGATAATTTATCTTTTAATTCCAGTTTCTACAAACTTTTCAAGTATTCATGTAAACGTTTTAAACTGAACCTTAAAAAAGGAAAAATGGAAGATGATGGTTTTCCATTCTAGAGTCCCTTTACAAGAAGATACAGCCAGTAAGTCTTCTAGAAGAATACATTCTACTAGCTTCACCACCCCTCCCACCACTGAATCATTTTAAAATCTGTGCTGTTGCTACTGTTATTTTCTCAGCTGTCCAGAGAGGTCTGTTCTAGAAATCACTCCATAAGACAGATGTGAGACTCTGAAAAATACAAGTGTTTTCTAGATTATTATGTCTTTTTTTATTATTTTCATCTATGCCCTATTATCAGCTTCCCCCAGAACATATGAAGATAAAGGCTATTTAGGGACAAGTGCTGTGTGTATCAAGCTAATTTTCCTCCTGCAGTCCAGGCATCCCATATAGATTCTAGTATGAGCTACTCTACTTCCTATCCAGTTCCCTGCTAGTGTGGGAAAGCAGCAGAGAATGGCTCAAAATGTTGAGTCCCTGTGCCCACATGGGAAACCAGCAAGAAGTCCCAGGTTCCTGACTTTCTTTAAATCTGCCTTTCAAATAAAAAATAAGTACATCTTGGGGAGCGGAGGAAAGAGTTATTTAATCATTATTGCAACACCTCTGAAGCACAGTCTATATATACCCAAGAAATGGGAAAAGAGATGGTAGATTCTGGGCTGATGTTAGCCCAGCAGTGCTAACCCTGAGTACATGAGAAAAAGCGCAGGAGGTACCTTCCCCATGTTTCAGCTGTGGCCTGGAAGGAGGGGTCCCAGCTCAACAGCCCTGCACCCAGGCAGTCCACCTACTCTTTATGAACTATAACAGGCTGCACTGAACACTTACAAAACTGCGTGGACCAAATCAAGTAAAGTAGTAATCTGGCACTGCTGCGTGATGCTGTGGCACTAGCCAGCAGCTTCAGTCTATGTGGAGCAAAGATAAATCATTACCAATTAGTTTCTCCTGAATCGATGTGGCGATTGGGCAAGAGACTAAGGTCATAGTCTGTGCGGGTAACTGGCCTGCCTTCAACCCCACCACCGCCTTCTGTGGTGTCAAACAGAAAGAAGGACAACAGCAGGGCACAGGTGCCACCAGACAGCAATTCTAGCTGGCCGGAAGCGAATCCTACCTCTGATATTCAGGGCTTCGGACTTCTTTTCCTTTTCCTCAACCTCTTCAGGTTCATTCTGGGTGTTCAGGGAATCACCTGCATTCAAAGAAGAAACCTTGTGTTGTGTATAAGTTCTACAAACAAAAAAGAATCAATGGACTCATTATGAATTTCGGTTATTTTAAGTTCCTCCCAGTTCATGGATGACCTTACCCCTGTGAGTGTGACACTCCCCAAACAGCACAACCTGGCCTTGGAACAGCCTTGGGACCCACCTTTGAACTTCATTCACACTTACTTTTGAATGAGAACAGCAAAAGGGCACACAGGATCCACCCCCGCCCTCAGAATCCACAACACCCCAGGGCACGGGATGGGAAAGCGGCAAGGGAGAGAAACAAAGTCCAGACAGCAACTAATAAGTGGGGGGCGGGGAGGCTGGGGGAGTTCTCTGTTGCCCAATAGTGAGGCTTCGCTCCAAGAAAATCAATGCCACAGAGAAAGGGAGAAAGGGTCAAGAGGCCAGGAAAGCTGCAGCCCCAAAAGAACAAATAAGTAAATAAAAGGGAAATCGTAAAGAATATATGTTCAGTTGGCCAGAGAAAATGGGAGCAGATTGCAAAAGGAATAGATTTTAAAAAAAAGTCAGCATGGAGGGGGGGGGGGGGAGAGGGAGGGGAGGAGGGGAAGGGTGTGCAATGAGGAAGAAAGGACCAGACTGTGAGAAGAGGGAAGCGGGAAGGGGACAGAGGCCCAAAGGATGCAACCGAAAGGCACCTGCTACGTTTGAGAACACGGTCGCGCCCTTCTCCTGCTTCCTGTCGACCGAGGCCCCCCGGAGAGTCAGGGTCGAGTCCAAGCTGGGAGCTGTCGGGGTCGCCGGGTGTGGCAGGCGCTCAGCGCCCCCGGGACCCTCTAAAGCATCACGAGCGACCCCCTCGGGCAGCGGCGGCCGCGGCTCAGAGCGGCGGCGGCGGCGGCGGCCCCGGACGCAGCAGGCGAACCAGGAGGCGCAGTCCTGGAAGATGAGCAGCCCCACCACGTTGACCGCTAGTCCCAGGGCGCCGACAATGAGGACCAGCTCCGGGTCATCGATGCGCTCGGGCCGGGCCAGACGCAACACGGCCTCCACGAAGATGGTGAAGCAGAGCGCCGTGAGAAAGACGGCGTTGCTCAGCGCGCCCACCACCTCGGCGCGCGCGTATCCGTACGTGGCGCCGAGGCCGCGGCGCGGGCGCCGGGCGATGTAGCCGGAGCCCAGGCCCACGCACAGCGAGATGAGGTCAGAGAGCATGTTGAAGGAGTCTGACAGCAGCGCGATGGAGTTACCCAGGTAGCCCGACACCAGCTCAGCCACGAAGAAGCCCGCGGTGAACACGAGCATGAAGATGAGCCGACACGTCTTGCCGGAGTAGCGGCCCATGGTGACGGCGACCCGCGGCTAGCGGGACCCGCGGGTGCCGGGGCCGCGGTGCAGCCGGGGCCGCAGCAACAGGTGGGGGCGCGGTGTGGCACGGACTGCGAGAAAAGCCTGGCACCGCCTTCCCGGCTGCCGCGCCCGCGCTGCCCTGCGCTCTTTATGAGGCGAAGGCATAGCGCCCCCAGGCTCGCCGAGCCCAGAGTCTAAGGGAGTGGCCGACGGCGCGGCAGTATCTGAGGCGCCCTCGCACCACCTCCACGGCCCGGGCCCGACTTGGCAGGTGGCCAAGGGCCAATGTCCTTAGGTCGGGGACCGAACCTGCGAGGCCACAGAGCAAATCAGGATGTCAGTGCTCGCGGGCCCGCCTGCGCCCAGCCCTGAGCACGGGAACATTTCCTTGGTGACTCTCGCTCAGTGACCAGCATTTTGTGGGTGTGTTCACCGTGGCGGACGTGGACAGCTTCACGCTGGTTGTAGTTCACACCTCGTGTTAACCTGGTGCACCACGTCAAAGGATCAACCTACCCTGCCCCCGTGGGTGCGCCCTACTTCACATCTTGTTAAACATGAGCTCATCCCACACTATGTGCTCACCTTCCACTGCCACTCGTGGCAATGGCGTTTTCATAGTTCCCGCTTCCTCCCAGGCCTCAGGATGGGCTGCTTCCGTTGCCCGCTCTAGGCCACGTGTCATTCCTGCTCCCCTTCCAGTCTGTACCTCCCTGAGCTGGTAAACCTGGCAGGCCAACTTCAGGAATCCGGGGGCCATACTCTGGGGAGTGTGGGCCGCTGCTCCACACTCAAAGGCTGAGCTGTTCTGCAGTAGACACAAGTTCTTTGGCTACCATAGCAGCCAGGCTGGCCCCTTGTGTGTACGTGTCTGGCGTCAGCATTTTCTGCTGTTAACCGCTGTGCCCCTGACAGCATGCCCTTCCACTCATGGTCCAATCGCCTGACCTCTCTGTAAAGATCTATTCTGAGTAAAGACTCGTCTGTTGACTCAGGCTTTGTTCCAAGGAAAAGTTATCCAGAAGGGAACTGGCTCCAGGATAATGGGAGACGCTAATGAGCAGACCCGGAGGATTGTTGGCTGGAGATCAGTTCAGGATGCTGTTGGGGCAGCCTTGTGGGTTTTGTCTACCTCTGTACTCATTTTACAAAGGGTTTAAATTGATAAATCTGGTCATCTCTAGTGTCCCTCCTCCATCCCTAATACCTGAAGTTTCAAAGCCATTGCTAACACACACACACACACACACACACACACACACACACACACACACATACATCTGTTCTTGGCTTGAAAATGAATAAAACATCTTACTCAAAGTAAGCCACAGAACCCATTAGCAGAATATTCTGGTTTCTAGCCCTAACCACTGTCTGATACCTATCAAACATAACCCACCTTTTAACAGCCCTTGGGGACCCATAGCAGTTGTGCTAAAGCCCTTGTGACCTAAGGGTCCTGCCTTCCACCAGATGAGCCTCCACACTAGGGAAGCCTATGAAAAGTCCCTTTTTCATCCCCGAGGAAAATACCCCTACCCTGAGGACTTGCAGAAGTTGATCATTCCGAGTAGTCTCTCAAAGTTAACATAAAAATGGCCACTCTTGTAGAAGAAGGAAGAAGAGATAGACTGTGGAGTTGGACAACCTGGTTAATCACCTGAATCTGAAATGGGAATAGCAATAACAATAATGGCAATATAGTGAGGAGTAAATGAGTTTAGATGTGAAAGCACTTACAACAGTGCCTGGCACAATCAAGTTCCCAATAAGCATTGGCTGCTGTTGCCACCATCAGTATCACTGTTAGCACTACAACACTTGTGAGTAGGATCACTGTTGAAGGGTGCAGAACACACGCTAAGGAGAGGCACATAGACACTGTGGCCTTCCCACTGTCTGGCTTGTGCAGTCTTCAAATGTGGGACCCCTGAAACGTTCCACATGTGACAAGCAAAGCAATCAACGTAAGAGAGGGAGGCCTCTTATAATTCACCCAGTAGGGTTATTCAGTTTCTTCCTAATTGTGTGTTTTTCATTCACAACTGAAAAAATAAGCGTGAAATTGGCAGACGTGTATCACAGGTGTCTAACGTCCTTGTCCTAACCAACGGCAGGTAGTAAGAACTGTGCCAAAGTCTCAGGAGTATGCTCCACAAAACTAGAAAGCCAGAGGCTGAGGAAGCACAGCATGAAGCTACAAGTTTGAGGTCCCTTGAGTTTAAGAAAAGATAAATGTTGCCTGATGGTGGCAGCAAAATGCTGCCAATAATCAACTAACATAGATACAGGTATACTCCAAGTTGGTTGACAGACTTACAAAAATGACGTTTCCCTAGCTTTGGTTGATTGAGGTCTTGCTTATCCCAACCTTATGTTGAGTGCTTTACAGGCATTACCTCATTTCAGCCTTTCAATAAACCCATAAAAAGAAGTATAATTTTATGGGTGGAGAACCTGAAATTCAGATGTTTAGTCACTTGCCCAAGGTTGCGCAGTGAGTGACAGATATGCCATCTGATCTAGGCATCCAACCCTTCACCTTATATTCTTTGTCCCCACATTAGAGTAGGTTGATCTTTTTTTAAATGAATGTGCTTTTTGTTGTTGTTGTTTTTAAGATTTAATCTTTGAAAAGCAGAGCAATAGTGTGAGACAATGATGTTTCGTGTGTTGATTCTTTCCCCAAATGACTACACCAGCTAGGTCTAAACCAGGTGGGAGCCAGGACCCAGGAACTCTGTCCAGGCTCCCATATTAGTGGCAGGACCCCAAGCACTTGGGCCATCCTCTGCTGCTTCCTCAGGCACATCAGCAGGGAGCTAATTGATCAGATTAAACTCTTTTATTCTAACCAAGGGATTTTTAAAATTCATATTTATTGGTGTCAGACTTGATATACTACAATTCATAGATTCTGAGATATGATACTAAAAGAAAGTTTTTGTGCATCCAGAAATTAACAGAAGATTGTGTTTTCTAGTCATTGAGAGAGCACTGGCTTGTTTCCACTTTAGGTTCTAATGACATCTTGCCCACAGCATCAGTTTCATAGGCAGGAGAAGGAGACTTTTATTCCCAACAGCAAGTTTTCAGATGTTACATTCATCATCAGAAACTGGAGGATTCTCCCTAGTTACCAGCTCTGAGCATGCAGCCCCAAAGCAATGAGATGACTCCAAGACAGGAAGTCCCTTCGTCAGGTAGCTGAGGAAACTTGTGAATAAAGTTAGTTCTTCCCTGGTGAATTTATGCAGTGCTGTGTGTATATTTCTCACAGTTTGGGTGTTCAGAGGTACTTTTTCTACCCTAAATGTATTTGTCCTTAACATTTTTCAGAATGTGAGGAAATTTCAAAAAGTTAATTGAAGAATGGGATTAAATGGTGCAAAAAAAAAAAAAACTATAAATCCCTGCATAGTTTGTTCACAATACATATTTTTCATGAACTTTTCTCCTTGCACATGTCACATTGAATGTAAGACATTCTTGACTTTACATTCTTTTTTTGTAATGCTAGAATTATGAGATAAAAAAGAAGCTATAAGGTAGCTTTTGGAACCAACGTAATGGTGTAATCCTCCCACCTGCAGAGTTGACATTCCATATGAGCACCAGTTCTAGTCCCAGCTGCTCCACTTCTAATCCAGCTCTGTGCTAATAGGAAAGCAGTTGACAATGGCCCAAGGCCTTGGGCCGCAGCACCCACTTAGGAGACTCCTGACTCCCAGCTTCAGACAGGTCCAGCTATGGCCATTGCCATTGGGGGAGTGAACCAGTGGATAGAATATTTTCTCTCTCTCACTCTCTCTTTCTCCTTCCCTCCCTCCTCCACCCCTCTTCTTCTATCTGTAACTCTGACTTTCAAGAGAAGTCAAATCTTTAATAAAATAAAGTGATCAGCACCATCTGAAACAGGTTGTGGACAACAGAAATTGTAGCACTGATATTGAAAAAAAAGTAGCACTAACATGAATATAGGGCTGTACCCATCAGTTTCCAAGTGTCCCTCCCTAAAGTCTGTTCTTGTGACCAAAATATGTCTGCTGCTAGTGCTCCTAGTGATGAGAACACAAGCCCTCCAGTAACATCATATGGCCACAACCTGCTTGTTGAGAAAATCCCAGCCTCTAGGGGATTTTAAATTGTACATTCATTTTGGGAAACTGTGGAAGGCAGACAAGCAGAGCAGTTAATAATTTGAGCTCTGGAGTCAGCTAGCAGAGCTAAACTCAAGCCCTGCTCTTCACTTGCAGGTACCCTATGACCTCGGACAAGTTCTTACAACAGTCTACATAAGACCTAGAAAGCAAGCGCTGTGTTTGTAACCAACAGTGGCTGAAATATATCAGCTAGGGTTTGAGATGGCCTGGAACCCACTCTAGGCTTGCTCCCGGGAAGACATTTTGTCTATAGGGATAGGCATGTGGCCTGTGTGAACCTGTCATAGTTACTCATCTTCTAGACACAATGAGGATTTCAGTTTTAGTTCAAGAAACAGGCACTTGGTCCAACTTGAGCCAAAATTCTTCCCCTGAAATTGTCAAGATCTGGTACAGAAAGAGGTTCGGTTTCTTGTCTGGTCACTAAGCTATGAATATGTGACTGTCTGACCTTCTGACCAATTTTCTGTAATCTGTTTCTAAGACGGGAACAGACAGAAACAAGCACCAATGAAAGGAAATCTCTAGTAGAATTCAAGTCTCTGGTTCATCTCAATAGTGTGGGCTGATAAAATTTCCCCTTTTGCCTAAGCAAGTACAAGTTGGGTTTGTGTCACAACTAGACATTTCCAATCAAAAGAAGGTTAAAAAACAAATCTTACGGAAATGCAAAGAATGGCTTTCCCCTCTATATTCAAGACTCAGAAAAAATATAAATTTAATCTTTAAAATATTGCAAATTAAGACTGACCATTATTTACTTTCATTCCTTATCAGTGATAGAAGAATTATTTTTGTTATATTTCTTTATTCTCCATGTGGAGAAAAAAT